ATATTACAGTTATACTATCATATTAAATTTACCTTAATCAAATAATATGAAAATCACACACACACACACACACACACACACACACACACACACACACACACACACACACACACATATATATATATATATATATATATATATGAAAAAATCTATAGTACACAATGAAGTCAAAATAAAGTACAAACGATTATAGTGCTCATAATACAAATATTATATACTAGTGTGTATGATGAACTCGGAACACCTTATTTCTATGCTGCCTCATGTACTACATTGCCTTCCGTGCTTCCCCCATGAAGGCATCCTAAAAGACTCATTTGTCTATACCCGTATGTGTCATATCCATGATATGCCAACATCTAGGGAACATATCAACAGTGTGATCAGCCATATCATGCTCCTCCTCTAGTATCTCCTTATGAGTTGGCCTAGGTGGATCTCTCGGAGCATCGTGTGTCATATAAGGATGTGACACCCTAAAATACTATTGGATGTAGCCGTGTTTAGCACTCTAGTTGTTAGGAGCTATGGTACTTTGTGCCTCATCTTGTATCATATGATTAAGATAATCATCAAACATGGCATCTACATCTCTTCGTGACATAACGTGATAAGCAGAATTAGAGGGGCCTTTGGGAATAAACTGCATGTAGCCGAACTTCTGTATGACATGCTCAAGTAGATAAGGATACATCGGACTTGAATTGCAAGCCAATCATCCAAAGTAGAAGGTTATGTCGTCCAAGGGATGCACCTCACGATGATCGAAGTACGTATGGAAGTGTATATCATCTGCTACCATGCGATCAAAATACACTATGTATAGCTATGTTACCCAATTCCCTCTAAGTAAGGCAAATGCAAAAGCACGTGGCATATCATCAGTGTAGGTCGGAACATATGACCATCCAGATATGTGTTGAAAGTACTGGATAATCTAAGCCTGAAAATGGTACATATGAATCATTAGTAATGGCGTTGAAAAAGTGTTATGAAAATGACATTCAAACTCTAAAAGATGCATAAATATGACCCTCAATAGTGTGATGTTGTTTGTCATCTAATTGGTCTTCCACATACAACCTTCAACTAATTTGGAGTACAAGTAGACCAAACAAGCGGCAATGCTAGTTGTACTCATGGATCCACTCTAAGTCAGCAAAGTAGCTCAGGTTGACCACATCCATATAATTAGCACTCTTGTCAATAAAAAATGGATGTGTCAACCAAGTGCAACAGGTATGCTCTCAATGTGTATATTATATGTTGCACAACATGCTCATCATCACCAGCGGCCTACTCTGCATCATACAGTTGTTGTGTATACAACCTCTCTAAGAATTGAAACCTAGCATGATCTCATCGGGTGGCTTTTAACTCCTACAAAGCATCCCCTGAGTCAGCTCCCATATAGTCTACCATCATCTCCACTGCATCATCTATGTTAATATTTCCATGGTCTAACATTCACACTCTGATAGGAAGATGCAGCAGGCATGAGACATCGTCCAGTGTGATATACATCTCTCCAAGTGGAAGATGAAAAGATGAAATCTATGAGTTTCATCTCTCTAGAAACACGAACAACATACCATGGTTAATAGTAACATAATCAGTCTTGCACAAGTCTCTCGGGTCAGATAGTTGCATCACATACTTAAACCATTGCTTATCCTGCTTCGACAGACCATCATTCTTTTGATCATGGTTGATACATTTTAAATCATCATTGTCCTACAGAAAAATAAATCATCGTCATAAACTTCAAATATTATAACAAGCATGTTTTTTAAATAATGAATACAATTGTATTTTAGCTTTCCGTCTCTGGAAAGTCTGGGCAACATGGTCCAGATATTGAAGCAGCAGCAATAAGTCGGACGAGCCTCCTCCAAACCCTTTGGTTGTCTCTGGCGCTTTGGGAGCTTGTGGAGCCTCGGGAGCCTGTGGTGCCTCGGGTGCCTATATAGGTGACACATGTGTCCTACAGGAAGACACGTGTCTCATACGGGAAGGCGAAGGCAGAGATATATGAGCCTTAGAAGTTGACGGCTCTGCATCAATCAGGCTAGAAACTATAAGTGCCTACGATGATTGAGTTCTTTCCCTCTGAAATAATGGATGTTGATGGAGGAAACTTTGAAGTGTGTTGAATGAGTTTGACAGATTATGAGATGAGTGATTTTGAGAGTTGAGATATTTTGAGAGTGTGGAGAGTTTGAGAGTATTTTGAGTGAGGAAGAAGAATAGACTCTAACGCGTTTTTTATTAAAATAGCAATTGGAGATGCATCTCTGTAAGTTACATAGAGGTGTATTTTCGTAATCTTTTTCAACATAGTCTTAGGATCTTACTCATAAATGAATATGATTGGGGTATATCTGGAGATTTATTTTCGAATTTTAAGGATAACTTTGATTTTTTACAAAAGTGAAAAAACAATAGTTGGGGTGTCTTAAACAATTCCCTAAAAAAACATTGACCCATTAAAAATTACCAACCCACAAAACACAACCATATGAAGAGAAATTAACATGTCACTCCCCCCCCCCCCCCCCCCCCCCCCCCCCCCCCCACACACACACACACACCCACACCCCATTTTTTATTTATTTCAATTTTACTCCTAATGAGATACAAATAAATTTTCGAACGAAATTTCTGGTAGAAGGGTTGAAATTTTTGTACATATGAAATTTTTGGTACACCCCTACCAAATTTCCGATAAGAGTAAATTTCCTGTGGTTCATTTGAAATTTCTGATAAACAAGAAATTTGAATTATACTTAAATTTCCGGTAGGCTTTATTTTTAGGTTTTTTCAACGGGCGAGATTTTACCGATATATTTAGAGGGTCCTGATTGCACCGACACATTTGTGTGGTCTAGAATACATCACTATTTGTATAAATAAGGTTTTAGGTGATAGGGTAAGACATCTCAAAAAATGTTTATTCCTGAATATTTGATTCCTGTAAAAGTGTATTACAACGGGTACAACCCTGTTGTTGAATTCAAGATTCTAAATTACTCTGAATCCCTTGCCACCTTGAAAGAAACGTTGAATAGTTTACTACCTAATTCCGATAACAGAAAGGTGACAAAGGTCGAGTTTCAGGAGGATTGGATTGATATAAATGAAAGAGTGAAATACAACTTAATTGAGTTGAAGAATGATGCAGATGTGAAGACCATATAGAAATCATTTTGTCGTCCTTGCCTCTAATCCTCACTGCAAAAATAAGAAAAGAAATTAGGAATATATAAACTATCGAAATTTTCTAAATTTCCAGCATTTTTCAAAAAAATATGAAATACCGAAAATTTCAAAATTTCTGGTATCATAGTGTACTGGAAATTTTGAAATCTCCAGTGTGGAAGAAAAACGTTTCCACTGGAAATTTCAAAATTTCTTGTATGAAAAAACCGAATTTTTGAAATTTTTGGTGCGAAGTACCGAATATTTCACAAAAATATCAAAAATTCCTTACTGTTTCACCAAATTTCCAGTATCGGATATTTTTTATATCACCACAAAGATTTAGAAAATCCTATTGGTCACGAAAATTTAAAATTTCTAAAAAATACTTGGGTCTGAACAATATAGTCTTTTTCATATATTTTGGAGATGTCATTTATAAGAAGGAGTGACATGTTAATTTCTCTCGTATGATCATACATGTACAACGAGTAGATCTAAAAAATATATATATCATTAATCCACCTCAATATAAATACTTATGTAATCATTATTTGAATTTTTGATTAAATAATTTGAAAGGGAAAAGTAAAATCTAATCATGTCAATTAAAGTTGGTTATATACTCCTATATTAGGCCAGCTAAATCTCTCATTTTTATCTTATTTTTAAATTTTATTTATTTATTTTAAATTCAAATGGTTTTGATGTTCCCCTCACATTTTTTCATAAAAAATATTATAAAAAGTATTTGAAATATTCATTTTTTTAATTTATATTTTTATCTATAAAATTCTATAATAAATTTATATACAATAATTTGTTATGTTTTACAAAAAAAAAAAAACTTATCATTTAAAAAATTAAAATATCATTAGTTTTAAACTATTTAAACTTAATATAAAATGATCAATTTGTAAATCAGATAAAATATAAGGACCAAAATTATAATTAAATTTATTATTATTGTTAAGTACAGTTTGCAAAATATAAAGTAAATATAACATACACTTGCATCCCCAAAACAACAAATAACCATTGAGCATATCTTTGACTCATCTTGCCTCTAACCAAACACACCACTTCCAACCTATCAAATGACTATTTTGTTTGAATCAATCGGCTTTTTCCTCAATTAGGAGACACCAAAAGGAAAATATCTTGCGGGTCTGATACTCCTCCTAAAGAAAATCACTTGAGATGGATACCAAAAAAAAAAAAGCATAATCATTAACATACAATTATAAAAATTTCAAAAGAGCATTTTTTAACCATTCTCAAGCTCAGATCAATGAATTACTTCTAATTATTTGTTATTGATTTTACATCACAAATATAATCAGTGTATTTATTATAATGTATCTATTAATAATACTTGATAACATTCTGATTCTAACAATCTAACATTTTTTAGTGTGACTATTATTTCTAATTCAGCAAGAACAAAATCAAGATTATTTGGATGACCACTTGTTTCTTTGGAAGACAGGGAGCGCAACAAGTATCTTTAAAGATGGTGAAAACAAGATTTCCTTGACAGAACAAAAGAATAACATCTTTTTGCAATAATAATTGATTCCTTAAAAATAATAATTGAGCTCCAATACCAAGGATTACAGATAAATACATGATTTCCACGAATTTATGGAAACCATCAAAGAATTACTCTCCCCTATTCATAAACTAACATTTTCACAATAAAAAGTATCAAATTTTCCATGTAAGGATGAGCCAATACCTAAGATTACATATAATACAATTTTTATGAATCCCAGCTGTGCAACAGTGAACCATGTACAGAATCACTTTCCGCCAACCACGAGTGACTGGAAAGGCTCCCTCTTTATCTCCACAAATGTGGAGAAGTCCTTGCTTATTGGCTGTTTCCAGGGTTCTCCATCCATTTGCAAATACGCATTTTTCCACCCTCCACCTCTGAGTTCTAAACGAATAGCTGCTGCCTGAAAGATGAAATGTAACCAGAAATTAAGCATTCAGGAGAAACAAGTTGGACTGGAAGTTGGAAAGAGATATTTCACAAAGCCAAGTGATGGCCATGTAATATAGAAGTGAACTAAAATAGGGGGTTGAAAATTTGGATGCACGGAAGACAGAGATATAAGCCACAGTGAGAATAGATTATCTCCATTGACATTATGGTCATGTCAAATCTAGACCCTTATAAAATAAAACTGTGAAAAGGTTTTATAATATAGAAAAAGGAGATTATTGTGTTTAAATTGTGGAGATTGGTCCAATGGAGAAAATATGTGTGAATTTCAATGCAGATCATCCATTTCCAAGCCACATTATAGGTTGCTTGCGTTGGTAAGTTTTAATAAATTTCCAAGAAATTAACCAACTTTTCTCCCTTGCTTATATGTTGCATTTGGCACTATAGCACCTAGCCCATGGCAGAGGACTTTGCTTAGAGGGTCGAGATATAGCACAAACTCTCTAGGTCAAGAGCTGAAATAGTAGACTACACTTATGTGCAACGTTTATCAGCACCAACGAGAAAGTGAAGATGAGCAACAATACAACAAGCACTAAATGGCAAGAATTTTTAAATCAAAAGGCTGAGGAACAAGAAAGTAGCACCTCCACTCTCATATACACAAGCAGTGATGGAGTCTTCTAAAACCGCATATGAGAATCAAGCAATCTACCTTAAAACACAATCAATAAACTGCGGTACCTGAGCGATGTGCTTCGCACTGATCAAATCAACCATGACAAATGATGCATGCCATCCTTGCTTTAAGCCAAATATTTCCAAGAGCCCATCAGCTACATCAGCTTCAACAAAGCCTTTCTGAGAGAACATCAAAAAGCATATTTAGTCAAACATAGTTAAATTTGTATAATATCAGCAATGCCATCAAGTATGACAAGTATTATTCACTTATACAATAATTGGATATTCCTAGAAATTTTAAAAGAGTGACAAGAAAAAACACTAGGTAGCACCAAGAAAGGGTAGTAGAAAATCTGCATCCATACATCAGCATTGTGGGATATATACCCTAGGACCCATTTGAAAGGTAAGAAACCTAGCTGTAATCTTGAGTAATTTTAACAGGTATCCATTTTCAAGCTACATGAATACAATACCTTCTCCAAATATTCGGGTTTCGGTTTACCCCATGGGTTTCTTCCACTTCCATAGCTATGAAGATTCAAAGCAACTATTGCCCTTACACTGAAAGGAATCAACAAAAGCCTTATCAAATCTAAAACTTCACAAAAAGATATAGCAGCTCTATTAAATTCATAGACTGTAAACTAAAGAGTTTAGAATAGCATAACTAAAACAGGAAGCTAAAACCATGAGTAATGAATAAATGCACAATTACTAACAAACAGCTACAACATCGTAAAAGGGGTAATAATGCCAGTTTAGAAACATTGATTTGTTTACCAGTTGATAATAAAGAACAATAAGAAACGCACCTTTTAGGTATTGTAACTTGCTCCCACTCTGAGCTATTAACCCTTTTGATATGCATTCGCAAAATATTTCTAAGCCCCCTGATATCAGAAGGATTGTTTTAAATTAGTGAGGATATTCTAAGTATTGTCGTTATTCTCATTATCCAAAATACATAACTCATCCATGTAGGAAAATGTTTTCTTAAGGTAAAAATACACATTTAAAAAAAAAAAACAAATGGTATGAAAAGGCAAATGAGAGAGTCATCCCAACTATGTTGGCAGTCGGCATCATTCCCAATTCGTTGATAAAAAGTTAGAAAAAAATACAAAATATAGGGGAATATGAACCAAACACACGTGAAAAGGTCAGTCATTACTTGGTTCTACAATTAGGCGAATCATTCTATTTCTTAAAGCAAAAATACACATCAAAGAAGTGAAAACACATACACATCATGAGAAGGCATAAATAGGATAAAGTGGATACTGAGGAAGGCCAGATTCATATATTCATGTTTATTAGAGTATGTGGGTTGGGCCTAACTCAACCTTATAAAATCGGCGTGCAAGGTGAAGATTTCTCTCACTTATAAACATATGTTTGGATCATTATTGTCTGATGTGGAACTCTTAACACACCCGCTCATACCTAAGACTGAACATCTAAAGCATAGATATAAATAGTGGGTGGCCCGATAACATGCGGTCCAACGGATCTTAAACCAGACTCTGATACCATATTAGAATTAGAGTTAACTTAACTCATCCCTACAAAACCGACTTGTAAGGTGAGGAGGATCACTCTATATAAAGTATTTTCAAGCTCTATATCTAACCAACGCGAGACTTGAGAATTTTTCAATACATCCTCTCACGCCCAACACTATTGGACTTGGCGCGTGGATATAAACGATGGGTGGCTCATGGTCCGATTGATAGGCTCTAATACCATATTAGAAAATAAGATTTGCTATTATGTTTTATTCTTCAGCAATAGCTGGTATATACAGAGAATTACAATTTACTTAATTTTAAGAGAATATTATTATAATATTTAGGGTCAAAATAAAAATAAACATAATAGTAACCACATGGTTACTCCAACAATGTTAAATGCCTAAGTCAAGTCAGTTAGCACCGAACCAAAAGTTTTATGACAATTATTTGATAGGAATCCGAAATTTAGAGAGAAAATGAGATTCTATTATTGATTGAAAAAGGAAAATATTACAGAAGATAAAACCATGTATTCCCACAGAAAATCTCCTAAAAGAAGATATGATTCTTCCTCTGCCAAGCCCTAAGGTTCTCAATGAACAAGATGATCAAAATATCCCCTTCTTTATGCCTTCACGTCCTCTTATAACATAATTGATCACACGTCTCACCCCCCATTCTCTGCCACATCACATCTTTTCCCTCTCCTTTCCTATATTTCGATAAAATCACTCTTCACATAATGGGCTTGTGCAACCAATTACTTAATCGTCTATTTAGGTCCACATACTTGATTGGGGTCCTAACAAATTTTAGTTACTATATCTCAAATCCTTGTAAAAGAAGAAAATGAACAATTTCCCGAAGGTAAATTTGATCTTGTCAGATGTAACATATGTATCTTTCGGGACTTCAACCATATCATTTTCTCAATTAAGGCTTTCGGTGAATCTACCATAGATGACATGACGCTGCATGATATATGCTAAAGAAACCATCTCTTCAGCCATTTGGAAATGAGTTTCAACATGACTGTCTAACAACTAACGATAATCGAAGTTAATCTTTCATATCCACAAATTTAGATACCTTGAACTAATATCCAGTCAGGTCCCAAGTCATCTTACAAGAAACAAATGATCACATGGCTAGAAGGTAAAATTGATCTTCTCTAGTAACTATATAGCCATAAAATTTCTCAAGTAAAACTTTCTTTGGAATCTCCCATAGGTAGGAGTGTAGGACCACATGCTAAATTTTAAAGAAACCTTTTCTTCATCCACATGGAAATGAGTTTCAGCAAAACATCTGTAGACAATCCAATTTAATCTTGCATATCAATAAATGAAGATAACTTGTATTGCATCCTCCAACCATGCTGAAATCCCTAGTAAGAATCTGCAGATCACTGTTTGTCACCATAACTTTAACAGTGTCGACATTTCTTCATCACAAGCGAAGACACAGGTCATGTTGGATACAGAGGAGGATACAAGTCAATCTAACTATACTAGTAAGACTAGAATGGGTCAGTTCAACTACATTTATGATTTATCTAGTATTATACGTAACAAGAATGAGCTATAAAATCAGTAGAGAATTTTTCCATTTTTCTCTAGAAACTGTGGCACTTGATGCATGACATTCCTTGCTGCCTAAGTATTTGGACAGGAAAAGGCGAATACCAGGAGTCACGTTGTTGTTGTTTCATGCTTAATAATATAAATATTAAGCTAGCATTATAAGGTCAAATCTTGTCAAGTGAAACAGATGATCCAAAACTACTTACTGTGTCAGTAAAAGATATATATATTTCCAGTGATACAAGAGTGGTAGAAAGAAGAGACCTTTTGTCAGCTCATTTATGATTCTTATACAACAAGAAAAGGAGACAGGTCTAGGTGCACAAGTTATATAATATTTTTCTTGTTACGAGCAATATCTGGTACGACCTATTAGAGATACATATATATATGCTTGTTATAGAGCTTAATTTCCTAGTAATTACTTTGTACAGCTGGCATAGGGTTTGTTATAACCTAGCCTCATCTCTCCCTTATATATAGGGATCCTTTGTACTGTTAACACTTAAGAAGAAATACAATAACAGAATTTCTTCATCTCTCTCCTTTCTTGCAATTCTAACATGGTATCTCGAGCTATTTTCTCGATCTAAGCGCTTCCATGGTGTCGCCTTTCAGCACTGAAGGTGCTTTTCCTTCATCTCATGTGAAACTCTCACATCTCATCTCCGTCAAATTAGATGAGAAGAATTTCAAACAGTGGAAACAGCAAATCGAAGGCGTTATTCGTGGTCATCGTCTACAACTGTTCGTTACTGTACCGTGCGTTCCACCGCATATTCTTCTCAGCACCGATCCAGTCACCGGCGGTGCAAATCCAGATTATCTTGATTGGGAACAGCAGGATGCACTTATCTGCACCTGGCTACTCTCCACGATTTCTGATTCTCTTCTTCCGAAACTCGTCGACTGCACGTATTTGTGGCAAGTATGGTCGGAAATTCACTGTTACTTCAATACTCTGATCTTCGCAACCTGAAGAAAGGTCCGCGTTCCATTGCTGAGTTTGTGGTTAACGTTCGTGACATCAGCAAAGCGTTGGTGTCAATCGGAGATCCAGTTCCTCTCCGTAATCTCATTAAGGTAGTTCTCGATGCTCTTCCTGAGGATTACGATCCTATTGTTGCTGCGATTAACAGTAAAGATGACATGTGCTCTCTTGATGAACTTGAGTCTAGTCTCCTTGCGCATAAATCATTGACTTGAGAAGAATCGCAAGGCTGTGATTACTGAACCGGTATCTGTTAATATCGCTCAAGCTCCACCGGCTTCAGTGTCGCATTCGACTGAGCACTCAGGTTCTGATTCCAACTCTGAATTTCCCACTGGTACCAGTCATGTGACTGCTAATGCTGAAAATCATTGCACTAGCTCTCGTGGAGGCAGATATGGTCGTGGTGGTGGTCGTTATGGTCGCGGTGGTGGCCGTTTTGGCAAGGTTTCGTGTCAGATTTGCCACAAACCTGGACATGATGCCTGTGTGCTATCATCGTTACACTTACTTTGGAGCACCTTCATACTCAGCTCCACAAGCTCCCTTCAATCCCTACACAATGGCTACACGTCCCTCTTTCCATCCATCATTTGGATATCCTCCGACCCCACGGCCAACATCACCCAGGCAGCAGCAACCACAAGCTTCAACATGATTCAGGTGCTTCTCACCATGTTACACCTGATGCTTCAAATGTGTCTGATGGTGGTGGTGAATTCAAACCCCTCACAAAACACCTTCCTGAATTGGGCATCATCCACAGGTTTACTTGCCCCTATACTCACCACCAGAATGATATAGTTGAGTGTAAACACCGTCACATAGTTGAAACAGGTCTAGCATTACTTGCTCATTCCAAAATGCCTCTTAAATATTGGGGCCATGCTTTTGTCACTGCAGCCTATCTTTTCTGATCTTTTCTGATCTAGCAGAAGCAAGCACTATCTCTCCCTCTTCCTTACCTCAATCTGATTCTACTGCTAGTCCTGCTTCTATCCCTCCTCTTCTCTATCCTCAAAATGTTCACTCTATGCAAACTAGAGCTAAGAGTGGTATTGTCAAACCTAGGCTCAATCCTACACTTCTTCTCACTCATATGGAACCCACATTTGTTAAACAAGCCTTGACTATCCCACACTGGTTTCAAGCTATGCAGGATGAGTATCATGCCCTTTTGAAGAATCAGACATGGACATTGGTGTCTCCATCTGATTCTAAAAGGCCCATTGGCTGCAAATGGGTCTTTAGGGTTAAGGAGAACCCTGATGGGTCCATTAATAAATACAAGACAAGACTGGTTGCCAAAGGATTCCATCAACAGGCTGATAGTGACTTTACTGAGACTTTTTCTCCAATTGTCAAACCTGTAACAGTTAGAACAGTGCTCACACTTGCAGTTACTAATCAATTGTCAATTAAGCAGATTGAGGTTAATAATGCTTTTCTCAATGGTGTGCTTGAGGAAGAGGTATACATGATTCAGCCTCCTGGGTTTGAAGCAGCTGATAGGTCTATTGAATGTATAAGCAAATGTATAAGTAGCTTTACTGTTATTCCCTTGACTGGCAACTGTAAGTTACAGTATGCCCTAACCTGTAATAGCAGGTTACCCTTGATGCTGTATATAAAGCATCAAGGAGCCTTTTTGTAATAACTGGAAAAAAAATCAGAAAACAGAATAACAGAATTCTGTTATAGATGAATACTCTCTTCTTCTCATTCTTCTTTTCTAATATGGTATCAGACTGCTGAGTCGATCCATGGCTTCGCCTGCTTCGCTATGGTCTCGCCTAGTCCGGCTG